TGTTTCAGAGTATCGATAAAGATATGTCGAGAAAGAAATTCATTCGAATACTTCAAAAGACTGACAGCTGTCGATCAAATGATAATCGTGACGAAACTTGGAATCTGCTGCGCCATTCTATTCTTTGTTAACAGGAAGTGATTGTGGTACTTCCGGTTCTATGTACTTCCGGTTCTATGTACCAGTCAGTATTGTAGTAGGATTATTTTTCTGCTTTCTCAGCAACACGTAGCATGGGCCTTAAAGGAGCTAACATCACTGAGTTTAATTAATCTTGCCGGGTTGGCTTGGGTTTCTACCAACCTCAGCTAATATTATGCCTTGGGATGATGAAACAATAAGAGGCTCACAGCATCCTGTTTATCTGTGACACGTAGAATGGTACGCGACGGTTTTTTAATAGACCCTAACATTAACGATTAAAATCTTTATCAAAAATCAAAACGTTTCTTCAACTGATTTGTAATCTTGCTCACGAGCGGTGCTGGCTCTCGGAAAATTAGGAAGTTTAATGCTTAAGCTCACGTACACACACTTATGTTAAATAAAACCTTGGCCTTATTATGAGCCTCCTTACTGTCCTCTTCCTTAAATGCCCCTCCTACTCGATCTTGTCTCAGCTTATTCATTAACTGCGTTGAAATAATTGCAATCAAAGCCGGACGAGGAATCATGGCTCAGCATAAATAGCGATTCTATTCTTAATAGTAAGTTTTGTATCAGCTTGTCCATTAACTGGGCTGTTAATGGGGATCTTCCTGTTTCCTGTGAAATACACGACAACAAGGAATAAAATGTCAGTCTCGTTAACACAATCTGAGCGATTATTTAAAGGAATGAACATTTGATTTAAGAAGGAAGATCTAGGTAAAGGAAGATGTATGGTTCATCTGATATGACGAGATGGGTTATTTTTGTGCAAGAGAAAACGGTTCCGAACTGATTCATAATCCTTTTATTGGAAGCCTGTCCGATTTGTCCTTGCTTCACATTGTAAACACAGCTATTTCAAGAAAAAGTATTTCTTGTGAATACTAAGTGTTCGTATAGTTAATTGCAGCTCGAGTTATCGCGGTAAGTTATAACGAGAGTCTCTCAGAAGCCAAAACCAGGCTAAACCAACATGTTTTACCTATTGTAGTCAATACATCTCTTTTTGTAGAAATACAGAATACTTTTCTTTACTTTTGCCCTTCGATTTTAACATTGTAGGCTATTCACTCTGCAGTATTCAGTATTAAAAAAACAAATTGTCATAAAAGTGTGTACACCTACTTACAAGAACGTTGTCATACGAGAATAGAACATTAGTGATTTAGTGGGATAGGAATCATATTAAAAAACAAAAGAAGATCACTGAAGCTGAAATTTTTTTTTTTTTGTCTTTTAAAGTATTCCTCACTAAATTACTAATGTTCTAATATCGACGTTCTTGCAAATAGGTGTATATATAGACTGATTAGGTACAGGTTACTATACTTCTGCGTGCCGCTTCCTGCATTGCTGTGCCTGCGGATAACAAGACATATACAAACCCGAGCTCGTTTATTGTACTTTACTATAGCCCTTGACCTCCTCTTTACTTTAGATAAATCTTCTTACCAACAAGTATCAATAATCAAATAAAGAACAACACTTGGGCTACTGTTCTTGATTGAATTCTTTATCATTCCTAACTAATGCCATTCTCGTCGATATTCGTGGTATTTCGTATTGTGGTCAAGCTGTTACCGGTTCATTGGAGTGATGTCTTAATCAGTAATGTTTTATCTTCATTCAAGCTCGTGGAGGAAGCTCTTTATGGAAAAATGATCAACTTTCTCAGACTTTTGTCACTCATAACTAGCACAATCATGTCAGTATATAATCTGGAACGTGTCAGACTCTACTATAGTCAATCGAGATGATTGCTGTAGAGAATAGAGTTAAACAATGGAGTTAATAGAACAGATATGAATTCAGCTTCCTGTTGATCCTGCGTGTCAAGAATCATCATCCTAACCCTAGCCTTACCATCTTGCCTGTGGGCTATCATCTCAGCCAGAGCTATCCTTCTTCTAGATAGTTCTACCAACACAAGTTTACACTCATTCTCTTTTAGGAACATCAATCCTTAAATATAAAAAGGAATATGAAACTACCCAATCAAACTTTGATGACTATATCTACACTATATAACTACTGTATTTCTTCAGTCGAACTTTTTAAAAGTCAAATATTTTGAGGCAATGATGAACGTGAAAAACGCGTTGGTCGATCATAGAAAACAATTCAGTAAAACAAGCGGTTATTGAGACAACAAGTTCTTTTTATTGATTGAGTATTAATATTAGTGCGAAGCCTCATTGCAAAGTACCAAAAGGTGCATGATTTCATTTCTTAGTATTCAACGTTTTTTAAATGGTTTTTCTCGGAAATATGCTTAGTAGTAATATTCATATCATTATCAATAATTGTATATGATATTAAAGTAATAGTTTTTAAACTGATTCACTAGTTACAAGAATGCCTTTGCTTTTCTGGTTGAATAGCGTTTATATTATTCATATATAAATACTGTACAAATACTGTGCATTTTTGACTTGACGACTGTTAGAAACCAACAAGGCCTTTAAAGAATGCTATAAATAAACTACGGCTCGACTCAGGGTCCTTTAAACGATAGCAAAATGATCACATTTGTCACCTTTTTACAGAAATAAAGCTAAACTTTTGGCTTTACTATTAGAATGATGATGAAAACTTCAACATTTGCAACGACAGGAATTATATATGCAATTTTCTATTCTGCTTTGCTTACTTGACATGACGTCATCAAGAATACAAACTGTCGCAGTTCACTAAAAAAGTAGCACAGTAATAGTAAAATAGCTAAATGTCTTGTGATGATGGCTCCAGCCATTGGTGTTATCTTGGGGATGCACGTCCCACCCAGGATGACGAGATTCAAGATAAACATTATTTTTATGGCCATTTTCTGAGCTGACTGTGTTGTAATTTAAACCATGAGGACACTTGAGCAATCAATGTTGCTAGTTGATTAGCAAATTCTAATTGATATGTCGTAGTTTTTAACAAATAGTCGTAGCTTTACAGGAAGACCGTTCCTGCAACAAAACAACTACATTTTCTAGAACTAAACTAATTCAGTTAGTCACTCTTTTTTCTTACCATAATATGACATGTAACAAAGCAAAAAGTTTAAAATGATGTGCAAAAAATATATGAATATATGCAAATAAGTTTGAGGTACTATTTTCCTTTATTTATCAACTTATTCATTTATTTGTTCTTCCAGATATAATTATGATAGCTTATTTGAGTATTGCAGGGTATAATTGTCAGTAAGGTTAGTACTGTTGTGTAAGTTTTTCATGGCTAGCTACTATTAATATTCATCAGTATGCAGTACTAAAAAATGATGTATAGATAAATGACTAGTGTGGCACTTGGCAAAGGTACCAGAAACACGGAGCAAAGAGACTTCACAAACAAAAGAAATGATAGTGTTTATATATAGAAACCATCTCAACTCATTTTCTAATTTCTCTTTTAACATTTCCCAAGGTGTTCGACCATGTGTTTTATCAATTTTTCCAAGAATTTGATAATCAACTTTAAAAAAAATAGCCTTAGCGAAAGTAAGGAAACGTGTTTGTAAACGCGACCTCGTGCTTAGACAAACAAATAAGCCTATTTGGATAGATTTTCAACTAGTTTTTCATGTACCAACTCATCATGCCTAATCCTCATCTCAGGATTGTGCTTTAAGATCCATTACCATGTTCCTTACTCAAGTCTACCAGATTGTACCCTTACCAAAAACTGTTTGGTGAATACACAAAACTAATCCTAGTTCTCATTGCTTCCTTTACTGTTTTATTCATCTCCTCTTTAGAGTAATTTATATTGAATTGTAGACAAAAACATTTTAGTTTCTTTATTAAGCTATTTACCTCACAGCAAAGGGTGGCTGTCAATAAGGAATTTCTCCAAGTGAATAAAATAGGCATCCCACAACAACATGCACACAGTGATACTTCTAAGAATTCTGGTATAAAAAGAATTCTATCTCACGAGTAGTATGCAAAACAATAGATGCGAAAGTTGAAATACAAACCAAAGATCGAAACGTCGCTGTAAGTGAAAGTACCAAACTGAAAGGATATATTCAAATTAGGCCAGACCAAGAGACAGGGTTGGAAACTCCCCCCTTGGTGGGTGATATAAATACACGTGTGCACAGAGATATCGCTTCAGCTCGCTTCAACTTCGTGCAGTTTCACAACCTCTCTATCAATCAATATGTTTCCTCTATAGGCAACAAGAATTATTTAGTACGCCAAATACGAAAAGTTTATCAAACGTTCAAATCTTTTGAAGATCGCTAGGTTTTTTTCCGAGAGAAATTCTACAAAATCGAACTAAAACCCCGCCCTAAAAGAGTAGGTCGAGGAAGGCTTTTTTAGTAGAATTCCCTTGGTCCGCGTGTAACGTTACCACTCGCTGAAGCAAACCCGAAAATGCAAAGACGACTGCGTCTAAGGGATTGGCTAGTTATTCAAATAGAAAGTGGGAACTTCCTTGGCCTAGAATGGCTCGATAAAGAAAGGAGAATCTTTCGTGTTCCTTGGAAGCACGGTTCTCGACAGTCGTGGAAAGAAGAGGTTGATGCAGCTGTGTTTCGAGAATGGGCTATCTATACAGGAAGGTAAGGCTGTTAGCTGTGAATACGCAGGTCTACATGAAAACATATTGCAATATAGTCATGGCTACATAATATCAAAAACACAAGTGAAAGATGTCGAATATTTTAAACCTTTTAAACCTACTGTTTTTGATTTCACTTCGAACCTATCACCCAACAATACTGTCCGTCTCTGCTCATTAAAATAGTGACGACCGTACTGACTCGAGTACATTGATGTGAAAAAATTATAATATTACTTGCTATAACATGAGCTTCTTGATTATTTGCCAGTTTGGAGGCAGTCAATATACATTTTTCGACTGGTTCATAGTTGTGGCTTCCTTTTTACGCCATGCTAAAAAAAATGTATAGATTTATTCAATATTTTCCCCTAAATATATATCTTACAATATATTATATTACATTTATTTATAGTTATATTTACTCATGCAGTGTTAAATTAGTAAATCTTCAGTAAATTTACTTTTGGGAATCCAACTAAAGTGCATTTATTTTTGAGATACGATATTTTTGCTAACAGTTTTTTATTTATTGAATCTTCGAGCTTTTTACACATCAAGTCGATATTTTTATTCCCGAATTTTGCCAATAATTATATCATATTACCTGTGAAACTAAGTTATTAGTGATTATTAAAGGCTCATTTGTCCTCTATTTGGAAACGAAACACATTTACGCATAATTTTCTTTCAATTTCTTGATATTTTTCAGTATACCTTGACCTCGGGACAGACTACTAAATATCATAGCTCTCAGTGTTGTACTTTTATCCTTATTCCTGCAATTCATACTGCATGTTTTCTCAAATCTAGAAGGCCAATCATGTTTTTAGCGTTAGTGTTAACAGAATCAACGTCTCATAATCTAGCACGTAATTACTTCAGAGACTATATCTCAATACTTTGAAGGACTTGTCTTTTGTGTACAACACGAGTTTGCACGTGTTAAGCTTTAAGAATCTCTTCTAGAGGACCGAGTTGTTGAATGTCAGTGGATAAAATAGAATTTATAAGAAATCATTAAATAAAACAGCAAGAAAAATAGAGAGCACGATATAGAACCTCCCTAGAACAATAAATGATTTTTTTCAAGAGATTTTGATTGCATTTTTGTGAGTTAATCACCGACAGTTTTAAGTCTTCGTCATTGGAACTGATTCGTCTTGTGTATCATTATTTCGGTAAAGCAAAAATCCTTGAACTATATGCTAAACGTGTTTAGTTCTACCAGCATAGTGCAGGCTTGGTGTTTTGTACTGAGTGGTAATAAAGTAACAGAGTAATGAGCAGTGTTTGTGGGGTGTTCAATAAAGCATACTCTTTATTTATTTGTTTGTTGATAATGATCGAAGTCCGCAACATGTCTAGATTTCGCCGCCTTTTTCACTTGTAATAATTAAGCTACTTCTTCTGTACAAGGAAGTATTTGCTTCGAGACACACCTAGAATAATGTACATAATCGAACGATCCACTACTGCACAACATTTCAAATGCAAATTTATATCTCTGCTATGAATTAACGACCCCATCTAAAGAATTCGAATGTTGAAGCTCTAGAATCCCTGTCATTTTTGATTCAAGATATGCATTGCTATAGAGTGCGCTCACTTACGTCTACTTTGTGACCTTTTTGATTTTTTCCTTTGGTTGGGGAATTTAATGCAGCTAGCATTATGACAATGATGAATATATTCTGTAACAAATGGTTGTGGTCATATTAGAGTGTCCTTTGAATCTAGAAAGGCTCATAATTACAAGAATCTGAATAGAACATAATTCTATACATGGAATCTGTGGCTTTATTTTTCTGGCTGATTTTCAAATTTTCAAATTTGACAAACTGAAAAGATGCATTGGAGAAAAACCCGTGGAATATTTTTGTTTATGTTTTGAATAATTTTAGTCTTTTGTTTGAATGAGTTTTCCTACAGGTATAACATTGTCTTTCTGAATGAATACAGTTGTTTTAGTCTATTGTTCCTGGGCTGGCTTGTATCAGTTTTAGCGCTGGAATAGAGCATTTTTTTGAAATTTGTAATTCTAATTCAATTGGCGCTTTGTTAATCAGATATGATGCTCGAAAAATGGCGCCAAATCCTCGAAGATGGAAAACAAACTTTCGATGTGCCCTGAACGCGTTGCCAGACATCGAAGAAGTCACAGAGAAGAGCTGTACACGGGGTAACAATGCTTTTAAAGTGTACAGAATGAAGCCCATGCCGAGGGCTGTTGGTTTTCGAGGTGAGCAGAATATTAGACATCAGATAAGAAACCACTTGTTACCATAGAAACTTGATGAGTTGGTGTTACGCTACAGTGGTGGTTTTACTTCATTGATGTCGTTCGTAGGTTCCAACCTCACCAACACTGACACCAATTAACACATGTGAATCGACTTTGTTTGATTCAGGGTTTTTTTCCTCTTACCAAGAGGCCTTTTCCCCAAGCTCCCCATTTTTCTGCTTCTTCTTCTGCTTCTTTTTTTTCGGTCTCCTTCTCGCCCATTTTTACTTACGTTCCTCCTTCTCTTCTATCGTCTTTCCATTTAATTTTCTGGGCTTATGTTCTTGTTTGCAGTCATTAAAATACTTTATTTATTTTTTCAAGGCAATGAAGATCTCATCTTCAAGAGACTCAATAGACTGAAGATGAATGATGAACGAAATGTAGTGTATGATGGGGAGTACTGGCTGAATCCAAGAGAATGCAAGGTACACAATGCATAGTACTGTATGCATAGTAAAGGATAGTTAATAATGTACAATACAGAGATATGTGTACATGACACTATGATAATGTAAAACAAAGTGTCCTGTATGATATAGGTATACCATGCACAGTACTGTACCTAGAAAACAGGACACTATAATAAACAATGTACAGTACAGAGATATGTGCACATGACACTACGGTAAAGCAAAGTGCCCTGTATGATATAGCACATGCACAGTATTGTATCTAGAGGACAGGACACTATAGTAAACAATGTACAGTACAGAGATATGTGCACATGACACTATAATAATGTAAARCATAGTATCCTGTATGATATAGGTATACCATGCATAGTACTGTATCTAGAGGACAGGACACTATAGTAAATAATGTACAGCACAGAGATATGTGTACATGACACTATAATAATGTAAAGCATAGTATCCTGTATGATATAGGTATACCATGCATAGTACTGTACCTAGAGGACAGGACACTATAGTAAATAATGTACAGTACAGAGAAATGTGCACATGTAATATATAGTATCCATATAGGAATAAAATAATTTAACTAGAGGACAGGACACTAACTAATGCATGGTAGAGTAATTACCAGAATAAAGGACACTATAGTAAACAGTGCAAAGTACAGAAATATAATAATGCAATATAACATATATTAACTATATATTGTCATGATGCTATAATTAATGCATACATTCGATATTTTGATTGACAGGCTGTTCCATATAATCTACAGTGTGATGAACAACCTTCCTGTTATCCTTATCATGATAGTCAGATCGCTTACCTTAACCCCACAGCCGTATCAGGTGAGACAAAAAACAAAACATAAATCGACTCTTGTTAAGCTTTGTTTGGTTCGACTTTCTATTGTTTTATGCGTTTGGATGATGTAGCGGTAAAGAACATCACTAACCTCTCACCTCTTATGAATGAGGTTCTATTTCTGGACTCTGCGCATTACATGTTTTTCTCCCCCACACAAATCTAACTAGCTAAAATCAAATTCGATCTGTGAGTTACAGCAGTACCCTGACTAAGAATAGCCCAGTGGTTGTTTCAAGGTTCAATCTGTAATTTAGCTGTGCTACGACTTTATACTCCCAGAGGTCGATACAGGGCTTTGATCCGTGAGTTAGCCGTTCCCTGACTTAGACCAGCCGCCAGAGATTGTTTCAGGGTTCGATAAAATTTTTAACGTATGGCTTATTGATTGTGATTTTTTGTTGATAGAAGTGGAGCAAACAGTCCCCAGTGATCACGAGATAGTAGAAGTAAGTCTGTCCCTTGATCTTTCTTTTAACTTAAAACTGTAGAGGTTAAAGCAACGACTTCTTCTTTTTAAAAATTTCCAGATGGTTGACCAGCTTCTTTTTCCTAACCATTTCCAGATCGTTGACCAGTTATCACAGGCTTTTGATAGTGATATTGGGAGTACGTCTACCGGAAGCTGTGCTACTACACCAGAGAGTGCATGCGCTACTTCGCCTGGATTCAGTGCGCATGGAGAATCTGGTAAGATATAAACCGACCATCCGACCCTCCGACCAATCAATGGACTGAATGATCATCAACCAACCAATCCGCCGACTCTCACAACATAAACACGTATTATGTACACATTTTATTGACATGAGTGTTTTTTTTCCTCTGCAGGATCCGGTTATCCGATCTACTCATCACTGCGCATGACCAACATGTAAAAACAGCTGACCTAGACTGAGTAACATGAAAATGGTTTGTCGATCTAGGTAACCTCGAAAGTAACTGTGAAGACAATATTGCAGGGATTTAAAATCGCTTTAGTCCTATGTCTTTGAATAGGGAAACTTTTGAAATAAACTAAATAGTCACATCATTTAAAGAAATTTTCTAATTGGAAAAAAAATACAAACAAAATCGTCACTCCTAGAGCACAAACATGTATTTTCGATGAATAGAGCTGCGTCGAAATATGCTTCCAAAAAATGTCCCTTCCCAGGATCCATAGCAAGTAGGGAGAGTTAGTACACAACCTACACAATCGCGATCGGTAGCTTTAAAATTTCTTTTGGATATCATTAACTATCATTAGATTATTACATGTAATTAGAATTACAATAGAAATACTAATCTAAAGAAAACGGTGGTCTTGGTACTATCTGAAATTATAGGTCGATTCTAAGATCAAACATCTTTCATTTCTCCGGCTGTGCATAAGCTGCGAGCTCCAAATAAAAAGTTTCGTCGACCTGGCTACCTTTTGAGATAGAGACGTGGAAATAAGATAGTAGATAATATTAGAAATCAGCAAGATAATGATAGGGATCTCAGTTAATTAAATAAAGCCTTGAAGATAGCATATGATATTATCAGGATATTATGAGAGATCATTGTACTGTACTAGTATTTACTAGTCTATGAACCCTTGTATTATATACATATCATTATCAATCAGTGTAATGTTTTGGTTGCCATGGTAATGATGGACATCGTTGTCATGGTGATGAAAGTTTATTAGCGTTAGGTTTTTACCGGTTTGTTAATAGTGTTGTTGATAATTATTAATATTATCTGTATTCAACAATAAAGCATTGAAAAGTTTAATTAGTTTGCAGTGTGTTCGTTTTCTGCAAGCCTCAAGTTCTCTGTATCTCACGGTTTGTCTTGATTTTGTTTAGAATATCCATGTGTTCCAATGAAGGTCCGTGGAATTTCAAAGTGTTTGTATTGTTGAAATTGTGCATTCTTTACTTTACCGTTGGTATTTGTGAATATTTAAACACTGATACGAGGCTAACTGTAAATGAGTCTGTAATCAAGGAACACAGCGGTCATTTGCAACTTGAAGCTGGTCTATATTACCAACGCTATTTACTTCCTAGGTTGAAGGATTAAAACATACTTGACTGGGCTTCCTGTGTAGAATATGTTTGTTCATATCATGAGTCATGTGATGTCGTCACAGCACGCGCGCATCTGCCAGGTCCGTACTGTATCTTAGAGATCTTGATCTTATCTTGGAGGAAGAGTCAGATATATAGATATACCAGTAAATTGTTTACTCTTCCCATCACCTCACTATGGATATTCGTGTCTTCTTTTCTCTTTTTGTCTTGGTGTTGGTTGGTTTTGTGTTGATGGCTGAGGCCCGTCCGTCACTACAAAGTAAGTTGTTGAGATTGCATCTCTTTGTAATGATTAACATTCTCAACATCGACTTATCTGGAAATCAATTATTTGGATATTATAATATTATGTTTATGTATCATATAAATCAGTGGGTAGATGTGCCTTTGATGGATCAGTGTTGTACACATAGCGTGTCAGTGTTGTAGTGTTGTTTACAATTTGTTAATCATGAACCATCATTAAACATCGCGGCTACCAGATCGCGGGTCAGTCTATTCCTGTAAACCCAAACTATATTTCGATGCCATTCTATTTTTATGGATTAAAATATTTAAAGTTTAATCAGTAATTACCTGATCGATCTCGACGATGAAACGATAGCTGAAAATAACTTCCGTTTAGTGAAGTAAACAAGTCGATTCATGCTGAGAGAGGTCTTCTATTTATTCATCCGATAATTAAGAGCTTCTTCGATGCACGGAGGGAGAGACAGGGGCGATAAATACCGCCAGCATAAGCCACAGGAAACTTAAACAACTGTTGTTTATCGTGAACTGAATCAAGTGTTACCTCCCCCCCCCCTCCCCCGTTCCATAGTTTTATAAAGAATATAGTTGGGTTAACTGTGGGCTACCTGTGTGTTCTTCTTTACAGGTCGTCTGTCTGTCCAGCCTAATGGCTGTTTTTGTATATCATGTAGTTGGGTTACCTATGTGTTCTTCTTTACARGTCGTCTGTCTGTCCAGCCTAATGGCTGTTTTTGTATATCATGTAGTTGAGTTACCTGTGTGTTCTTCTTCACAGGTTGTCTGTCTGTCCAGCCTAATGGCTGTTTTTGTATATCATGTAGTTGAGTTAGCTGTGTGTTCTTCTTCACAGGTTGTCTGTCTGTCCAGCCTGATGGCTGTTTTTGTATATCATGTAGTTGGGTTAGCTGTGTGTTCTTCTTNACAGGTTGTCTGTCTGTCCAGCCTGATGGCTGTTTTTGTATATCATGTAGTTGGGTTACCTGTGTGTTCTTCCTTACAGGTTGTCTGTCTGTCCAGCCTGATGGCTGTTTTTGTATATCATGTAGTTGGGTTAGCTGTGTGTTCTTCTCTACAGGTCGTCTGTCTGTCCAGCCTAATGGCTGTTCGTGTAACAAACAAACTGAAGAATGCGGATGCTGTGCTCATATCAAGTTCGATGTTCTGCATGTTAAAGTGGATGACGATGGTTGGTATATAGTTGAGTTTGGTGCGAAAGAAATTTTGTTTCGAATTTTGTCGATATGAAATGTGCATGTTGTCAAGGGCAACAACACTTATAATCACCGTACCCGTGYTTTATTGCCAGTGACGTTAGTAATATGCTTGCTTCCTATTGAATAATAGACGATGACGTTGCACCTGACAACATGCACATTTCATTGACAACTGACTTCGTGACAAAACGTCTGTGGCGGCAAATTCAACTGAGGCGTAGTATTTACGGGCTTGTGTCTTTCATATTTTGGATGATTTGGATGATTTTGCAAAGTAAACATATTTAAACACTTTTAGGAAAGAAATGAAGGTAATAACAAAACTCTTCCCTGACGGAAGTAAATTGTGCGTTTTCCAAACGTGTTGCTCCCGCGAGCAAACTGGACTCAAATATTTACCCATAGTCCATTGTTCGTTGAAACAAACCTGGTAGCAAAAGACATAAATAATAAAAAATAGTGGGATTAACAGTGGATTCCACAGAGTGGCTGTTCTTCCACTAGATTAAGGAGATATACAAAATAACACTATGTGGAATGTTTGATTTTAGCATGTGTCAACATCACGTACCTACCAAAACAGTACGGACTGTCGCTGACATTTGCCTGGAATGGGAAAATAATCTTCAACGAAACGGTGTCTGGTAGGTTCTTCAGTAGTATAGGGAATGGGGGTTCCAGCGCAATCTCAACACGGGGCAAGACCCGTGTCAAAAATCCACCTACGGACGACCCCCACTCCAAGTGTGGTTGAGGGCAACAGCGCACTTAAATATGTTAGTCTATATATGGAGTGCGAAGATTGTAAAGAGTTTGCTTATGATTTCT